CGCCTCGTGAGCTGGTCGGATGAGCAGCTCTGCGATTGAATACCTCGGTGTGTGTTTATGTGAGTGTCCACATACGGTGAATATTATTAATGTTATTCTAGTGTCGAAAGTGTTCAAGAGGTTTCTATACCGCAAGGAGAGGTGTCGCGTGTAAATAGTAAGGTTGAAAGAAAAAAAAAAAGTTATATGAAAGTGCAGTTATTAGTAAAAAAAAAACTAAATTTTTTCTTCCCCTTTTTAGGGGGAAGTGTGAAGAGTGAAGATTTTTTTTTTATTATTCGAAATGTGAAGAGTGTGTACAGGTAATCAAGGTTTGTACAGTACAATCACGTGAAGTTTTCATCAGCAGCAGAGACGTACGTGATCAGCAAGTCTTCATTTCAGGAATTTATTAAGACGAACTACAACAATATATTTTAAAAATATATAATTAAAGAAATATAATTAAAACAAAATAATAAAAAAAGTGGATGGGGGGTAATTTTTTTTAAAACAAACTTACGGACAATTTTTATCTTCATCTTTTTTTCTCTCCCTCTCTATTTCCTTCCTTCACCCCCTCCATTTTTTTTCTCACCTCATTTACTTGTTACGAATTCAAGAAACCAAACCAAACAAATACTCTATATTAATCCCTCCCCCCCTTTCTATTAAAGAATATATCCCACAGGGCCACCAAATAAGGCAAATAACGAAGTATTAAAGTCAGAAATTGACGGAAATCACCGACACACCCGTTTCAAGGCGCTTCTAAGATCACCGTCATTAACGTTCATGCTTGTGGCCGTTCGAGTAGCAAGGGCGAATGGGAGGAGGCAGGGAGACAGGGAGGAGATAGAGAGAGGGTGAAGGTGGGAGAGAGAGGGAGAAGGAGAGAGGGGGAAGGAGAAAGAGAGAGGGGGAAGGAGAGTGTGAAGGTGGGAGAGAGGGAGAAGGAGAGAGGATGAGAGACAGGGAGAAGAGGGGGTGGGAGGAGAAGGAGTGAGGGGGAAGGAGAGTGTGAAGGTGGGAGAGAGGGAGAGGGTGGGGAGACAGGGAGAAGAAGAGGGGGTGGGAGGAGAAGGAGAGAGGGAGATAGAGAGAGGGGGGAGGAGAGTGTGAAGGTGGGAGAAGGAGAGAGGGTGAGAGACAGGGAGAAGAAGAGGGGGTGGGAGGAGAAGGAGAGAGGGAGGAGGGAGGGTGGAGAGAAAAGGAGAAAAGAGGGGGAAGGAGAGGGTGGTGGGAGAGAGAGGGTGGGGAGAGAGGGAGAAAGAGAAAGAGAGAGGGAGAAGGAGAAGAAGAGAGGGGGGAGGAGAAAGAGAGAAGGTGGGGAGAGAGGGTGAAGGAGAAGGAGAGAGGAGACAGACAGACAGAAACAGATAGGAAAAAAAAGCACCAGATGAAAGCAAGCAAAAAAAAAGCGAAAAGGAAGGAAAGGGAACAGAGACGCCAGAGGGAATTGAAGAAAGGGACAGCGAGAGAGACAGAGAGAGACAGCCGAGATAAGCAGAGACAGCAGAAGAGGCAGGAGGCAACAGAGGCAGTACAAACAGAAGCAGTTCCCCCCCCCCCCCTCCCCAAAACCGCTGAGTGGAAGGGATCCTAACGGCCGAGGCAAGCACAGGGGGGTAGGGAGGGGAGGGGGGGAAGAAGGTGGAGTGTGGGGGTGGGGGGGAGGGGGGGATGGAGGGAGGAAGAGGGAGGACGAAAGGAGAGGGATGAAGAAAGAAAGGGAGTTGGGGGGGAGGGGGAGAGGAAAGGAAGGTGAGGGAGGAAGGAAGAAAGGAGAAAGAGGGAGGGAGGAAGAAAGGAGAAAGAGGGAGGGAGGAAGAAAGGAGAAATAGGGAGGGAGGAAGAAAGGAGAAAGAGGGAGGGGGAAGGAAGAAAGGAGAAAGAGGGAGGAGGAACAAGGAGGAGGAGGAAGGGGAGGGGGGAGGGGAGAGGGGGGTAACCTACCAGTCGTAGATTTCTCGTTCACACAGTTAATTATATTCTTTAATTACACACTCCAAAACACCTCATTGCAAACGGCTTCGAGCAACTGCGTTTTCACCACATTTGAAATGTTTTAAAAAACTGCCATTAAAACAAGTAAAAAAAAAAAAGATACAGACACGCCCATGAACATACTATAACCGGTTAAAACTGCTGAAAATCTGAAATGAAAAAAAAGAAATAGACTTGTTGGTTTATGAATAACCTTAAACATTCCACTTCCCTTAAAACTAAATGAATAACAAACAGGCTCTTAAATTTGTGTATTTTGCATAGTCTTGTGAGGGGGGGAGGGGGACGGGGCAAAACTCACGGATAGTTTGACACTCACAGACAGTTTGACAATCAGACAATTTGACACTCGGGTAATTTGAATGCACATTTGACACTCACAGACAACTTGACACTCGAAGACATCACGGAATGCACATATGACACTCACAGAATGCACACATGACACTCGCAGACATCACAGAATGCACATATGACACTCACAGATAACATGACACCCGCAGACAACCAACGACGCTCATTCAACATAAACCATGCCTTGACACCTGCCACCGCCAACCGAACAACCCTTATACAAATGACACAATTACTTGCCTATTATCTCCCTGACTTATATCCTTAATCCACTTGATTTAACAGGGTGACAGACAGACAGGCTGACACACACACATGAGGGTAACGCCCGAAGGTCAGGGGTGGGGGGTGGGGGGGTCGTAAACAGCTATATATGTGTCTTGGGTTCGAAATAGGCCTATATTTATGGTGTCTAGGGAGTGTTGTGGGGCGGATTCGGGATTTGGGATTGTGTGTGGGAAGAATGGATAGTGCTGATTATTATTATTATTGTTATTATTATTATTATTATTATTATATTATTATTATTATTATCATTATTATTGTTGTTATTATTATTTGTGTTTATTTTTTATTTTGGAATTTTGAGGATCTTTGCGTTTTCTGATAAGTCGTCGTCGTTATTATTATTATTATTATCATTATTATTATTATTATTATTATTATTATGTATTATTATTATCTTTATAATTGTCATTATCATTATCATTATTATTATTATTATTATTATTATTATTATTATTATTATCATTTTATGTTTGTTGTTACTGTTATTATCATTTTATGTTTGTTACTGTTATTATTATTAATATTATTATTGCTGTTGCTATGGTAACCATTAATACTACTTCGCTTTTCATTTGTTTGATGACTCCCTCAACCAGCATATTTTTTGCCAGTTTTTTTCTTCCCTTTCTCTTCGTATAGATTTATTCCCCTCCGCATTTATTCATTCGTTGCCACGTGTCTGCAAAAGGATCTATCTCCCTTGCATGACAACCTTACCTTGATCACTGTACAATTATCTAAAGCTGCCATGCACATGCTTAACAATAAACTATTTTGCATGGTGCTGAGTCATGCATTGATCGAGATAACTTTAGTACGTATGGGGAATATAAACCTTTTTTTTCTCTCTCTCTCTCTTTTTCTTTGTGTTTCCTATGCATGATGAATTGGGTATTGTGTGCATGATCGTGTAGATTGTTCGTGCATGATATTTTGTATTGTGTGAATTTCTGGAGATTTAGGAAGTGTCTTATTTGCGTGGCTGACGATTGTGTGTGTGTGTGTGTTTGTACTTTATATATGTATGTGTATATACAGGCCTGTACGTATGTGTGTGTATATTTTGCCCCCATTTACCTTAAAAAAAAGAGAGAAAAAAATATATGTATATAATCAATCCGCAAGCAAACGTCTTCCCATGCAAAATCTCTGAGAATTCGCTTTCCTCGTTGTTGCTAAATATACTTTCAAGACATCGACGTGAGTGACGAGAGTATGCGCGCGGTGGACACTTTTGGTCAATATAGTGGGAGGGGGAAGGTAAAGGGGGATGGGGGGGGGGAAAGGAGAGGGAGGGGGAAGGAGGGATATGGGGAGAGGGGAAGGGGGAAGGAGGGGGAGAGAGAAGGAGAGGGAGAGGGGAGGAAAGGAGATGGAGAGGGGAGGGAAGAAGAGCGAAGGAGGGAGATGGGTGGGAGGAAGATAGGGGGGGATTGAGAGAGACAAGGAAGGGAAGGAGGGAGAGAGGGGAGGGAAGGAGGAAGACAGGGGGAGTACTGCATTGCATGGTTGCCAACGAATGCGCCTGTGTTGTGAATTTATGGGCGAGAAAAAAAAAAAACTTTCGAAGTTTGCAACGGGGGGAGGGTGTGTGTGTGCAGATTTCTGAGGTATTTTTAATTTATTTTTGTTGTTTTGTTATTGTTAACATTATTAGTAGTAGCAATAGTAATTATTACTTTCGTTGTTATTAACCATTATTATTATTAATGTTATGAATTATTATTATTATTATCATTATTGTTGTTGTAATTATTATCATTATCATCATTATCATTATTATCATTATCATTTTTTTGAGGGTTGTTGTGATTTAAAATTGAATTTCAATATCCTCCTTGTTGTATCCACATTGCATGATTTCTTACAATTTTAAGTGAAATACGTTGGCATTAAAGTCATTAGCCTATTGCATAAGTCACAAAAGGTTATTTCTGCATGACTCACTGACCATAAATAAGACTAGGTCATTTTTTTTTTTCATCTTTTTTTTTTTGTCTTTTTGTCTGCATATCTGTGTTAACATAGGTTGTCTTGCCACATACTCGTAGTTCAATACAGATTATCGTACGCATACCTGAGCTGATAAGATAAGAAACGTTTGATACGAGACTTAAATGGAGGTAGAAAGGACTTTGTGATTCAATGAAAGGGGGAGCTGGTTAGGTGTGGGGAGAGGATGTGTGGGGGTGGGGTGGGGGGAGGTTATGCGTCTTGTGGTTGTGGTTGTAGTGTGGTTGTGATGGTTGGTGTGGTTGGGGGTTTTATCTGGTGGGTTTCCGGGTGAGTGTGGTTGGTGGAGAGGTTGGTGGTGGTGGGGGGGGGGAGGGTTGTAAGACTGTGTGGTTGGTAGGCTGGTTAGATATTGTGGTTATGTCTGTTTCTGTCTGTCTCTCTTTTTCTTTTTCTTGTTCTCTTTCTCTTTCTCTCA